TGTGTGCATGCAGAACATCTGGGGACATCTGTCCAGAACAGATACCTTCTCCTCCTACTCCTTCTCCAAAATATCTGGAGTGCAAGCTTACAAACGTTGTTCCGTAGCATTTTGTAAGCGACTTTTTTAGTTTAAGCCTGATAAGTGGCCAATAGAAAAGACATCTGACAGCCTCTTGGACTTTATGGAGCACAGATGCATTCAGTCACCCCTAATAGAGACTGTATAAATCATAAGCCAATCAGTGTCACAGCTGTTAACCCAGGCCAGCTGTGTGGAGCGTGCCGCTCAGAGGCCGCGCGCGTCCGCCGGCCCTTCATCGCTCCTCCGCACTCCTCCTCAGTCCTTTATGCGGACATAAACAGAAAGTTTTAGACAGAGAAGGAGCTAAAGTTCAAGTGCTTTAGCAAGCAAGAACACAACTTTCTCTTTCCTTTTGCTGCACATAGTCACTTTTTCTTTCCCTCTTTACTTTATCCATGTTGGTCTTTTCCAGTAAGACCGTTTTTTTTTTCTTTTCTTTTTTTCTTGTGTACTCTGTAGTTCAAAGAGTTCACAAGCCCATGTGGTGAGGAAAGAAGACAAATTCAGAGAAGGAGTGAGAGAGAGGGAAATCTTGTGTCCTTTAACCTGACCAAAGGCGAGTCTTGTCAACATTGATCATATTCAGAATTGCTAAAAACGGCTCCGAAGGGACAACACTAAATGCTGTGTGAGCAAGTCACACAGAATTAATCAGATTAATTAAACTGAAACGCAGTTTACAGGGAGACAGAAAAAGAAATCCGTTCTGCGTTCAGTGAACGAATCATGCAACATTCCCTGTTCTCTCTCTCAGTCTCCCAGTTTTACATGAGAAAATTTTAACCACACATTATGTGTAGGAACTCGGTGCATCTTATCCTTTAACCCACTGATGTACCTTTTGACCAAATTACTTAGGAAAAATGCAATAAGATTTTGGGTTTTGCAATAATTTCTGCACAATTGTACCTGTAGGC